TGAGTAGATCAAAGTTTGAGAAGTTCATAGAAGCACTCAAAATGATTTGCAAATTACTACGAAAAAAAGTTCGCATTGAAGGAGAGTGTTGAAAGCCAATGCAACTTTTAGATATATATATATTATTTTAAAGATATATCTTGAGAATATTTTAGAATAATTAGAAAAAATATATGTTTAGAAATATATATAAAAATCTAGATATTTATAATATTTAATATTATATCTATGATTATCTATAGAAGAATTTAGACATTTATAAGAGTAATGACTAAGATGTTAACACGTGTCACCAATTTAGTGGCAAATAAATCTTATAAATAAGGGTGAGATTTATCATTTTTGTAGAATAAAAAAGTATACAAAAAATGTATGAGAGAGAGAGATCATAGAGATAGAGAAGAGGAAAGAAAAATAGTGAGGTATGTAATATAATAATTTGATAAACCCCTGAACTCTTAAAAAATTGATAGCAAATAGCAATAGTTTAGAAAGTGTATGCAATGATTTAAACGGTTATAATAAACTTCAATTTTATATTTAAAGCACTTTTATAATCTCAAATCTTGTAACCATACCTTTTTGTTACAAAATATCGAGATTCGTGAGCTTTGCCTAGGTAGTCTTTGAGGCTAAGAATGTTGCGATATCTCAACTTCCAACGTTATAATTGATGGTTGATCATCTTCAACATAAATAATGATTTCCGATTCTAGTTCTAATTCTGATGATGAATCGGTTGTTAACGTCATAGGTAGTGCCATCGTGGTTGCATAGGAAGTTCTTCTCAATCTATTGTTAGTTCACGTAATGAAATGAAATATAATGAAAAATAATCTAAATAAAAATAACAAGAAAAATATAAAAGATTATTATTGTAAATATTTAGAAAATTGAAGAAAAGATAAATGAGTCAAAAAAAGAAGATGTGCAAAATTAGATCGGGGAGGATGTAGGAAGAAATGATGTGGTGGTGTGTGGATGGGATATTTATAGGTGTAGGAGTAGGGGTTAAGATTTTAATGAAGTTCATAAATATTTTTATTAATCTGTTAATTATATATCCTTTGAAATATTTCATATTATTATAAAGATAAATGTAAATGTATGAACTGACAAACAAAATAATTTAAGTTTAAATTATAATAATTCATAAATACTCAGATATAATAAAATTTAAAAGTATAATTGTTTAAAAATTATTCAATCACATATTATATAGTACCAAATACTAATGTATTATATTATTTAATATATGGATGACTATATATATATATATATATATATATAATATATATATATATATTAAAATTTAGGTTATATATATTAAAAGTTTTGAGGAATAAAGAAATTTTAGGTTTTATAATTACAAATTTATTTAGTAATATAATTCTTTAGTTTATTAAATAAATTTTAGTATTTGAATCTTAGTATTATAAATCATATAAATTTAATTAAAATGATTATTTCATACTAGACATTTAAAATATATGGCTTAGATCAATTAATTAATAAATCCTATATTAATAATTATTAAAAAAGCTTAAACCTTAATAATTTGTTTCAGTGTGTCAAGTTTGAATATTGAGTTGTATTAAATTTTATTTAAATTATATGTTGTACCTTTTACAAATATATTTCAAGGATCACACAAATTCACAATGATTTCTATTCTTCAAACTGCCAGACTTTAAAAGGCAGAGGAGAAACAGAATAAATCAAACCAAAACTCATTCGTGAAGAACTCAATCAATAAATCAAAAACTCAACAAAGCATAACTAGGAAACCCGAAAAAACTAATGTCCTGAAAAGGAAACATAAAAAAGAACCCATTTTTAGAAGAAAACTGGAAATCCCAAACTATAGTTTTCTTTCTTTTTTAACTATATATATTTTATTGTTTTCATTCAGAATCACTAGAACTCGAGCTGGAACCGGAACTTGAGGTTTTGTCCTATGTGGATGTCATGAGAGATTCATGCATTTATTGTTAGACGTTCGTTTGATTTGTAAGTAGTAATATGATTGATGTGTCTTTGAATTGTGTTCGTATCAAAGATGTATACCTTATATTTAATCTGTTATAAAAAAGAAATGACATTTTTTGAAACTCGATTATTATGATTAATGCGCATAATAATTGTGTTTGACGAAGGTTTGAGTTTATTTCGTTGAAGGTAAACAGCTAAAAAAACATAGGGATGTTACACTTTCTAGCCAGCTTGCAGCTGGATTGAGGTTCAAAACAGGGTTCATACTTTCATCTCAAGTGATAAATCACATCCACTATATGACAGAAAATTTAAAGCACGGAAAGATCTTCTCTAACAATAGCAGACTGAACAAGAAGGCTATCATCCGGACACGAATGAGGATTTCCCTGATGTTTGATAAGGAGCAGAAGAAATATATGGTATTCAGACATAGTGAGAGACTAGGCTTAGCTTTTAAGTTTTTTTTCATATATTCGGGGAATCATACTCCTAATCATATCTAAATATGTATCGAGAAGAAATATCGACCTTGAATGCATCGAGGGAAATGAAATATTTGGGTAACCCAGGAGTTAGGTAATTCAGATGGAACAAAGAAGGATATGTGTTCTGCAGTCTGGTAGAGAGAACAGATGGTTAACTGATTAGGTTAACCTCACAAATTGAGAAGGCATTCCAAATTCAGAAATCAACTAAAAGAAGGGGTAACTTTCTTCATTAACTCATAAACCGAAGAATGCATCAAAAGTTTACACCACTAGATACTAAATTTCTAGTACAGAAAGCAGAAAAGTTATGCAAGACTAGCCAAAATGAAATATAGTACAATACATGAAACGGTTCCTTTTCTCCAAAGTTTCTCAGTCAAGAAATTAGGGGGATGATTTCAATGATTTGAACTTTGATTTGGCGTGGATCAAAGATTTCAATGCCTTTTTTATTCATATATAATTCAATAGATTTTTTTTATCATTTTAGCATCCATATACGATTAAATCTAGAATTAACACACTTTTCTGCCATGTAAGTAAAGGTGCGTTCTTCTACTGCTGTGGTAGAAGGCGTGTTTTGCTGATCTTGATTAGATAAGACATAAATGAAAAAGAATGGTCAGGACTACGAAAAAATATGTGAATTTTGTCCAAAAATAACAAACGCAAGCAGTTTGTGTTAAGGACACGTAATTATATACAAGTATGAGAATGAGCATGAGTCGAGCTGGACGACGACGACACATGTGTATCAATCATATGTTTAATCATTCAATAAATAAATACTTAAAATGTTATATTTAAATATTTGACAATTCACATATTTAAATAATATGGGCTAATACGCGTGCATCATTGTCATTGCATGTCTCGATTCGTGTTCATGCACAGTGCAATTACGTGGATTTGACACGCATCACACACATCTATTCTTTTTATATAAAATTTGTATTTTTTAACCCTTATTTTTCATTCATGCAGAAAGTGCATTCCACTTGCGTGGCATAAAAAAAATACTAGATTGAGAAATAATTTGGAATGGATGCTAAAATGATAAATAAATTTTTAGATATATTTGAATAAAAAAGTAGATTTTAATGATATTGTAATAATTTTAAAAATCAATTCAGAAACTCTAATTGATAAATTGTTGTCGTTATTCTATTTTCGCCACCATGCTTTTTTTTTATCTAATAGTAAATTTAGTGTTTTAAAGTTTACATATTATGTAGTTTAGTCATAATCTTTAGAAAAATATTCCAGAAGTTTATACATTATCTTAATTTAATTTAATTTCGATTCTAACAATTATCGAATATAAATAAAATTTATTGGTTTTTAATTAAATGGATAAAAGTAATAAATTCAAATTTATTTTCTCATTTTTGTGCATTTTAAATTTTTAATTCATTTGTGTTAATTTTAATATATAGTTGACTATGCTGTCTGAATAATAAATGGTCGGTTATATCACCTGATTGATACATAGACCATACTTTTTTGTCTCAACACAAAAGAAATTCAAGTTACGTGGTAGGAAATCAAACGAAAAACAAACATAAAGAAAATAAGAATAAAGAAATCGGAAAAAAATATTTTTATGAAAAATCAAATAAAAGTATGTTGAGACAATGGTAAAAGAAGATAGATGGGAGAAAAATAAAAACTTGAAATTGTTATCAAGAAAAAAATGAATAAAAAGAACGGAAAAGTAATGAAGCACAGAGAAACAATAGCAAATGAAAGCAATATCGACCATAACTATTGTCCTCTGGACATGTGATGAGGTTGATTACATATCATCTTATTCCAGGGAAGATGAAGATGGAGAAGATTGCAATGTACTTCTTGCTTTTATTCCAATCGGTGGGTATTAATGGCATAGTACTGATAAAGGTTGATGGCCTGATGCTAGTTGTGGTATATATAGATATATTATAGCATCAGAAGCTAAATATATTGTATAATAATCCTATTTAAAAAATTATATAGATATATTATATAGTGGTTGTATATATAGATAAATGTAATAGAAAAATATTTATTTTTGCATATTATTAGAGAACTTAGATTCCGTTATTTGTATTTTAAAAATATCAATAAATTCGAATTATTAATATATTAAAAACATTAAATCTGTGATTCCAAAAAATAATTATCTGTAATTTGTATGCCAGTATTAAAAAAGAATCTCCGTACGATTGTAGGAGAAACTGGAAATCCATTGCACAAATATATATTAAAATTCAACAATTCGTCACTTTCATAACCAAAAAATACAATAATTTACAGAAATATTTCAAGGATCACACAAATTCACAATGATTTCTATACCTCAAACTGCAGACTTAAAGGGCAGAAAAGAACCAAAGGAGAAACAGAATAAATCAAACCAAAACTCATTATTGTAGAACTCAATCAATAAATAAAAAACTCAACAAAGCATGACCAAACTAGGAAACCCGAAAAAAACTAATGTCCTGGAAAGTTAACATAAAAAAGAACCCATTTTTAGAAGAAAACTGGAAATCCCAAACTACAGTTTTCTTTCTTTTTGAACTATATTTTGTTGTTTTCATTCAGAATCACTAGAACTCGAGCTGGAACTGGAACTTGAGTCACGGGATTCTGTCTTTTTACCTTTAAGTTTCAGATTTGATTTTTCAGATGATTCTTCACGTTTCTGTTTAGGCTCACCAGGAGCATTCTCATGTTCTTGAATCCCGGAGGCTGCATTTTCACTAACTTCAATCTCTTCAGTTGAAACTCCATCATGCTTCCTGGAATTATTAGGTAGCTCAGCAGGATTAGATTCGGGGCTTTGTTGAAAAGCGTTATGAAAATCCTCTTGATATCTCGGCGCGACAACAGGTAATACTGGATTGGTATCTGTATGACCCTGCTGATTCTCAATCATACTTGGAAGAATTACTTCCTCCACATCTACTCCTTCATGAAGTTGCTTCAAAACCAAATCAATGTCTTCAACTGATTTTGCTTCAAGAACAGGTAGTGCCGCCTTGGTCTCCATCTCTATTTCTTCCTTATCTTCATATTCATCTTTTGGTTCACCAGCAGCATTCTGGCTTGTTTCTTGAATACCTGAGACGGCATTGCTACCATCAATCTCATTCATAGAAACCACATCATGATCTTCTCCTGATGAATGTGGCTGCTCAGTTGGATTAGATTTGGTGCCTTGCTGAAAAGCATTATGTATATCCTCCAGAGATCTTGCATCAACAACAGGTAAATCAGAATTGCTATCTGCATGACCCTGGTGATTCTCAATCATGGTAAGAAGAGTTACTTCCTCGACATCTACTCCTTCATGGAGTTGCTTAAAAGCCAAATCAATGTCTTTCAATGATCTTGCTTCAAGAACAGGCAGCTCCACGTTGGTCTCTGTCTTCATTTCTTCGATTTCATCATAGTCATTTTTTGGTTCACTGGCAGTGTTCAGACTATTTTCTTGAATACCAGAGACGCCATGAATGGCTTCAATCTCTTCACCAGAAACCACATCATGTTGCTCCATGTCTGATGATCCATTTCTCATGTCAGTGGAAAGAGGCAGCTCCACTGGATTACGTTCTGGGCATTTCCGGAAAGCATTATGTATATCCTCCAGAGATCTTGCCTCGACAACGGGTAATTCTGGAGTGGGATCAGCATGATCCAGCTGATTCTCGATCATGCTTGTAAGAATTACTTCCTCAGCACCAACACCATCATGAAGTTGCTTAAAAGCCAAATCAATATCTTCAACCAATCTTGCTTTACGGACAGACTGCTGTACATAGGTCAGCATACCTATTTCTTCAATTGCTTCATATTCATTTTTTGATTCAGCAGCAGCATTCTCATTTTCTTGAAAACCAGAGACCACCTCACCAACTTCAATCTCTTTACTAGAAACCGCATCATGCTGTTCTACTTCTGTTGACCCATTCCTCAAGTTTGTAGACTGCAGCAACTCAACTGGATTAAGTTCTGGTCCTTTTTGGAAAGCATTATTTATATCTTCAAGAGATCTTGCCTCGACAACAGGTAATTCTGAAGTGGGATCTGCATGATCCAGCTGATTCTCAATCAAGCTTGGAAGAATTATTTCCTCAGCATCCACTGCTTCATGAAGTTGCTTAAAAGCCAAAACAATATCTTCAATTGATCTTGCTTCAAGAACAGGTAGCTTCAAGTTGGTCTCCGCCTTTCGTTCTTCAGTTTCTTCATCATTTTCAGGTTCACCAGCAGCATTATCATAGCTTTCTTGAATATCAGAGACGGCATTGCTAACTTCAATCTCTTTGGAAGATACTACTACAACATTCTGCTCCACTTCTGATGATCCTTTCTTCAAGTCTGTGGACTGTGGCAGCTGAGCTGGATTAGGTTCTGTACCTTGTTGCAAAGCATTGTGTATATCCTCCAGAGATCTCGCCTCGATAACAGTTAAATCCGACTTGGTATCTGCATGATCCGGCTGATTCTCAATCATACTCGGAAGAATTACTTCCTCAACATCCACTACATGAAGTTTCTTGAAAGCTAAATCAATATCTTCTACTGTTGCTTCAAGAACAGGCAGTTCCACATTGGTATTGTTTTCAGTCCCAATATCTTCTGGTACCACTGCAGATTCAGCACAGGTAACATGAGACCCCTCTGGTAAACCGATTTCCCCGACATTGAAGTCCCCAACAGTGTCCAATTCAGAGAGTATAGCTTCATCAAATTCTTTAATTTCATTGACTTCACTATTAGGGGCATATATGTCAACATAACTATAGCATTTATCGGGGGCCTCTCTTTCAATTTCTTTTAGGATATTCTCTCTCAAATCTTCTCGATCTGTTGGCAATGTATGTTCGGGACTCTCAGAAGGCAAAGAAGTATATTCTGAAGTCATGGAAGAGAAATTTATTGAAAGTTTATCCTCAGAATCATGAACTTCTTGCACATTACTGTCATTGGCTTCCCTTATAGACTCGGTTGCAATTATAGATGGTTCCTAAATCAGAGCGGTACGAGTTAGTTTCAGGATCACCATTTTAATATCTTTAGGAGATGTGAAAACATAAAATTTGAGATGCCTGGATTGAAATGAAAAGAAATGCGTGTGAAAGCAACAGTAAAAAAAATCACCTCCTGATATGTTTCAGATATATCCAAGGAAATTCACTCATACACAATGTAGTGAATCATCTAAAATGCGTATTTACGCATACATGCAGTGACAACGTTTCCAACAAGGTAAACAACTCATTGAAGTAAAATCTTAATTTTAAGTAATATAACATAATCCATGATTAGCTACTTCAACATTATTGTTTGACACAAAAATAGTATTGTTGTTTCAACTGGACTCTTATTTTCTGCAGGTACATACGGTATTAAAGGTTATTTTTATACAGCCATTAATCCCATAGTAAAAGAGGGGGATAAGAAAAAGAAGAAGAGTAAGAATATGACATATGATCAGTTGACTCATACAGGAATTAGAGTAGGGAAAAAGAAAATTCATAATATAAGGGCCTTAACTAAAGAGACCAACATAAGCACTTGTATTGAATAAATTAAATAGATTATTGAAGACAATTTATAAAAAAAAATTGATAATATTATTCTTCAAAGAAGTATGTCAATTCATCAAGGGAAGGAAATTTAAACAAATATAAGTGTCATAGAATAATTTACCTGGAGCTTATCACGTTCATCAATGTGCAGTTCATCTTTATCGAACAACAACTGCTTCTTTGATTCTGATGAAGGGTTATCACTAGAAGACACGTCTTGGTAACAAGAGAGTGAAGGAATTCCCTCCACATTCATCTCAGGGTCAAGATCTGTACAAGTCTTTGAATCATAAAATGGTGAATGGATTTGATCCATTTCAGATTCCTTTTCATGCTCCTCCCGGAGGTTAGCCTCTGAAGGGTGAACTTGTTGAAGTTGAGCCACCACAACTAAACCTGGTTCCTCTGCTGTGGATGAAATTACATCATTGGAAGGCATATGCTGGTATGTTAAAACCATTGAAGACAACTCACGATTATCATGGTGACCATCAACATCGAGATCTAAATCATAGTTGGACAAATGCATTTGATTGCATTCAGTCTGAATGAGTCCGTCTTGCTCAAGTGGAGTGTCTTCTTTTACAGCTACATACCTAGTCACCGGTTCGGCCTCCAGAGATTCATAGGGGTGCATTTGATGTTCTTGTTCCTCAGGTGAGGGATCCAACACCTCACCCATTCCTTTGTCAATGGCAAGAATAATCTCTTCACCAATGCTCAATAAGTCCACCGAGTTCTGGATAGAGCTTTCTTCCTTGTTTGGCACATCCTCCTCTAATCTCTCATCCGAAGACAACCCTGCCTCTCTTGAAACATATTCAACCACAGATTCATGCACCATTGATGCATTAAGATCAGAAGAAGTGGAAGAACCCCCTGTTGAACCAATAAAAGTAACATGATGCTCACTAATCTCTGGCAGATCTTGTTCCTTCAGTTCATTTTCATTAAGTAAATCTGAGTAGCAGGCATGCATATCTTGAAAACCAGAAGTACCCTGCTCAGCCATTTCAAAATGTGCTTCCCATTTCTTATCCGTAGATTCAACCAGCATTGAGCGTGAACCTATTTCAGATATCTCAGCTTGAGTGTCAGAAGAGATGGTCGACAATGAGAGGAACGTCTCAACTGATGGAGGGTGAAAACTAGAATAAAAAAAGGGCTCCAAATGTTGATTAACGTCCACTACCCCACTTGTAAAATGGAAATCTGATTCCTCGAATGATGGTTGATTAGAAATGCCAGATTCATTAAGTTCATGATCTCTGGGTTCAATACCTGCAAATTCTTCTCCTTTGACATCCGATATCTTTTCATCGATTTCTGATAATGATGACAAACTTGATCTACTGCTATCCTCCTCCTCAGCTGGCTCAGTTCTGTGATGAATTTCAGTTGCATTGAATTCCACGTGAGTAGTTGCTGGAGCTCCATCTCCAAATGTTATCGCAACTTCGTCACAATGAACATCTCTGTTCTTGGCTTCACTATCATTGTGTTCAGAGTAAGTAGTTGCACCAGCTTCAGACACTGATTCAGTTTCCAGCTGACTTTCTCCATATCCTAATGTGATCTCAACCACATCACAATGAACATCTCTATTCTCAACTTGGTCAACATTCACAGACTCAACATCGTCAGAGGAAGTGCTCTTCTGTTCATCACTGACAGAAGCATGATCTTCATTCAAGATAGGTTCAGTTTCTCGAGACACATCTTGCTTATTTGATTTGTTGTCCTCCTCATCCACAACTGAACTCACTGATTCAGTATCAGGAACAGAACTCAACTTTGACTCACTAACTTCACTTGACTGCCTCTGGAATAAGGAAGGGCTAGCTCCTTCTGGTACTAATTGCTCCAGAAAAAAATAAGGTTTCCACTTAAGATCTTGCCGAGGAACACCTAAAGGAGATGATCCAACATTAAAGCTTTCATGTAGGCTGAAGAAGGAGTCCCTTTGGGTAGCAATTCCCCTTTGTCTAAAACCCGAAAACTCTTCTTGGAAACTGTCTCCTTTAAGATCAGGTTTTTCCTCGCTCGAGTCATAAGGAAGATCAAAAGGGTTTCTTCGGTGCTGCAAATTGGATGGAGCTGACCCAGGAATGGGAGGTAACCCGAGGTCATTGTAGGAATCATATGGAAGGTCAAAAGGGTTACCTCTTGAGGTTGAAATTGGTGCTAAATTTAAGGGAATATCAGCACTATCTAAGTCTATTAGATTCATCTCAGCCATCAATCTCATGTTTTTGCGGGCTCTTCTCCTTGCAATAAGTTTATCCAATCGTATGTTTCTTTCAAGCTCTAAAGTCCCTAAATCCATGAGATTATTCTGATCATCCTCCGTCCATTTAATCGCAGATTTACTTTCATCATCTTTATCTCCCTTCTCTCCTCCTTCCTCTTCATTATCTCCGTCTCCCTCATCTCCTAATTCATCCGAGTCAACACTTCCATCGTTACTACTATCACGAGAACTCTCCGAGGCAGCATCCAAACCATCACGAGACAAATGAGCAGGCTGTGTAGCTTCTGAGCCCAAAAGCGGATGCAACTCGTCAAGCATCAGGCTTATATCTGCCAGTGAAGCATCAGGAGAGGAACTCTCAGCACCATCAGAACCAGAATCTGAAGAGTCATCCTCGTCGTCGTCATCCTTACAACCATCATCAGCATCCTCATCACGCGCAACACCTTTCCAAGAAAAAATCAGAGAATAATCCAGTTCACTATCCCTAGGACCATCATCAATATCGGATGTGAGTTTACCATCAACCACTTCAAGATTCCTATCTCCTACTTCATCTGCCAAAAGATGTTGACTCTCCTCAGCCTCCCTCATACTTGATGCCCGTTCACTCTCTAGCATCTCCTCCCGAATTTCAGCCGTCTTCTCCATCAAAGAATGACGCAATAGTCTCTCTACCTCATCAACCACCCCATTCTCACAATGAATATCCCTAGAATCCAAATCATCATTGACTGACGGCTTATAAAGAACCGAATTTTCACCTTCCTCAACTCCATTGAGCTCATTATCGACTAAAGTAAATTTCTCATCAGCATTCTCTACTACATCCCACCTCTTCCCTACATGTCTTTGTACAACAAAATCATCATCAGTAAAATCTCTTTTGACAAAAGTATCAGCAGCAGCAGCCCTTGTTTTCAATGGTGAAACTTCATGACTGACATTCTCTTCTTCTAGTTCGTTGATTTCAGGTATGTTTGGCGACCCGAAACTCAAAAGGGTACCAAGCAAAACAGCAGTGCAAACCAAAACAGGAGATGCAGTAACCAAGAAGGAAAACAACAATGGAAATGATCTATACAGAAAAATTAAAAAGCAAACCAAACCAACCAAAAATGGATGGTTAGAAACAAAACTATGACATGATTTAACTAATATCACCACATATTTCCTAACTTTAACTCCAAAGTCCATTCTTTCAAGCCCCATCTCTCTCTCTATATATAAATTTATTTCTTCTCAATTTCCAATCTGTTTAAAAAGAGGGAAAAGAGAACAAATTAAAAACAAAGCAAACAATTGGATCCAAAGGAAGCAAATTTATCACAAAAGTTAAGTGTGAACTCACCTTCTAGAATTAAACGAAACAAAGAGAAAACAAATGAATATCAATCCAATAGCTGAAAAAGGCAACAATTAAGAGTTTTTGAGTGGTGAAGTTGCTAAAAAAGCGAAATTTAAAGCAAAGCTGAAAATTTCTCATGACATAAAAATTAGAACTTTCAAGCAAGAACTAGAAAACCCAACATACCTGAAAAAACCAGAAAATCCAAGGTCTTTGAAGCTTGAGAAATTGAAACTCGTGGGATTTTCAAAATGGGTTAAACATAAATCAATCAGTAACAAAAAACAAAGAAAAAAATGGAACCCTCTGTTTTATTTTTCCTGCTTTTTGTGCTCTGTTTTTTTTTTCACTTTCTTTCTGGCTTACTTTTTGATGGCTTAGCAGAACAGCTAATAAGTTGTTAGATTCCACTTTTTCTTCCTGAAACTCTATTGTTTTTTGCTTTGAAAAAAAGATAAAGAAGAAAGGGTGGATTGGGGTGGCACGAAAAGAAGAGAAAGGATGAAAATAAAAAAAATGGCTGTCCCCGATTCGGGTAAAGGGAATTAAGATAATAGACTGCCCAACAATAAATTGAGAATAATTTATGTAGAAAACCTTCGAATTATGAAATATTTTTCGTAGAATTCGATCCTACGATTTTAAATATAAGAACCTTGTGTTTTACCAACTAAACTAGATAGTCATCTCTTATTAAGGATGAAAATAAAATTCCTATTATATTATTCTTTTGTTTTTCTAACGGTTTTCCTTTTCGTACTACTGATTTTTCCTTTCATTTATATATTATTAATTGATGTTTAAGAAAATAAATAAATAATTATTTTATAAAAATTCATACTCACAAAAAATTATTCATGTACAAACTTAATTAACTTATTTTTAAATGTATTATTAATTTAAAATCCAAAAGTTTAAAACAATTTTTTAAATGAATCATAATAATATTAGCAATAACGATGATGATCATAAAATAAATCCAAAACAAATATAAGGAAAAATCAAATTATTTAACTTAAAAAATAATTACATGTTAAATAATAAAAATTCTAAAATTGGAGATAATTATTAAATCGATAACTATTTAATCTTATACAATCTTAGGGCCTCCTAATGCATACATAAATACATAATTTCGTCACTAACAATAATAACACATGAATAAACACTAGTTAATCATAATTATTATTAGTATTGTAATAATATTCATGTTAATAAGATTTTTATATCAATATATTTTAAATGTTATAATTATATAGTATTATGATTAAGATTAGTATTATAATAACATTCATCATATTAATATTTTCAATCAAATAGCATTTAACCAAAACTAATAACAAAATAATTATTAACATTAATAAATTAAAAGTTTTTCCAATGAATAACCTTCATCGTATGGAATTAATTACTGCAGTGCATTAGAAACAAATGTGTATTTTTTAAGCAAATAGCTTGTAGTTTTCCTTTACAAAAGCGATAATATTTTAAGTGAAAAAATAGTTTTATTTTTAAACAAATATACTTGCTTATTTAAAAAAAAGAAAATATTTTTACAATTGTTTTAATTCGTAAAATCAACCCTCTTTAATATTTTAGCATGTCTCTGTTAATCGAAAAGGTCCGTTAGGAGAAGACGGGAGAATTTTTTTTTTGAAATCATTTTTTATGAATCATTTATTTAGTTCATAATATGATAAAATATTAAATAAATTATCTTAAACGTAAAATCATCCCTTTTTAATAAATATTGAATATTAAATAAATTATTTTAAATGTAAAATCAAGCCTTTTTGATATTTTAGCATAACTCTAACAATAATTTAATGTTTTACAGATAACATGTATTATTTTATTACCAACACCGTCCTTACTAAAGTATAAACTAGAATCATGATGTATCTTTTTACGTCGTGGATTGCGCTATATGATTACAACATCTCATAAAGCTTTTTTATATTGAGTTGAAGCTTAAAAAGTAAATTATTAAAAACAAGACGAATGCTTTCCAAATTATTATATAGAATTATTAACATTATATGTTTTTATAGGATAAACTTCGCCATATACTATGATTGTAAATAAAACGAGATATATTATGAATTATTCGAGTTTGATTCGGTTAAAGTTTAATTAATACTTGAATCAAATAAACTCAAAGCTGAAACGAATTATTTGATACCCGACTCAAAATATTCAAGAACAACCTAAAAAATACTTTTTAATTTTTTAAATTAAAATATTTATATTTTATTTTAAAAAAATACAATATAAGATATTCATATACTTAAATTTATGTTTGAGTTTGAGTTTGAGCTTCAATTTTCTAATTTCGAGTCGACGTTGAGTTCAACTTTAAACTTTTCAAGTCGAGCTCGACATACTCGAACTCAATTCAACTCGTTTACAACACACCAAGTACCAAATATCACTAAACTTTAGGTGTTGTATACGTTATATCATTAAACTTTCAACTTCTTCAATTATAAAACTTTTTATTTAAATTATATTTTATCCGATAGTTGTAACATTAGGTACATATATTTAGTAAAAAAATCTTTAGACACCAAATCATATTTTAAATTATAATTTAAACACTAAAAAACGTATTTAACCTTAAAAATATAATTTCTTTGTTTAGGAAACGAGTCGATTTATAGTGCACATGTAAAGCCAAACTATCATTTCATTTTAGCGAAATTTCAACAACAAAAAAACATTTTGTAAGTAATAATTTAAATAAAATTATTTTTATAATTAAATATAAAATTCGGATGATTCTATTGTGTCTCCATATCTACATTAAAGTAGTTCCCCTTGATTTGAGTGGACTGCACGTAATTTTTGCCCTTTTTATTATTGTTACTCTTAAGATTATTTAAAAAAACAAGTATTTAGATTATATTTTTTTAAAAATATTTTAAGTTTTTTAATATGGGTCTAGTTTCATTTTATTTTACTTTTCAGGTTGTTGGTTAAAATTATTTAATAAGTATATGGTACATGATATACGTTAATCATATCTCTTTTTCTCCTATAATTTTTTAAAAAATAAATAAAAGAGAAAAACTGTAAAAAGTCAACTACTTTTTAAAAAATTAATTCATTTTTGAATCTCTTCTGTTTACCATGACAATTATGGACAAGATAAATTGTATGCGTTTTATGATCATCCTTTGGAACATCTCGAATAAACAAAATAAGGTAATGCAAATCTAATATATTTTTTATATTAAAAACACTTACAAACATCCGAGTACTCAGCCGTCCAATGATGGATCCATTTTTAGGCTTAGTACCCTTCTCAACGGACTTTTAAATTTGAACAAATAACTTAAATATGTGAAATTGTTAAAGGAGGTTCGAACTTTAAATCAGCGGGCCATGGAATCATTGTTAATATTGTGGGTTGGGTTAATTAATGGTGGGTTCGGCACGGTGACTTGCTTGTGCTGGGATTAAATGATTTATGTGTAACATTGTATGTTAGGACTCCACACCCACTTTTTTTTTCACTTAATTTCATTAATTCAGTTTCAAATTGTAATGCCTATTATAAGGTTTAAAGTTCATTTTACTTTTTAAAACACAACGTATTTTATTAATTTAATGTTTTTACTTTTAAGATCAAATATCAGATAGTTAAACTACACAATATTTTACTGAAAATCTTATTTATTATAATTTAAAATTTAATTAAAAATATATTTTTACTGATATTACAAAAAAATAAAAACAACTGTTCATGGTGGCAGAGATATCATTATTAAAAGGGAAAATATAATCAACAATAAAAATAAGGATAAAAGCAAAATAAACAAAAATTAAGAGGTTTAATTTAATATTATTCATGTATTTTTTTAATAATATGATATTAAGGTAGCATCTGTTTAAAATTTTCTTAACCTTTTGATAAGATACACACACCATATAGACGTACCTGCTTGAACACATAACTTCTAAGGAGAAAAACACTCTATTTTACTACTGAGGTCGTTCAATGAGTTCTCTTCCATGTATTTTTTAATAATAAGAAAATGAGACAATAGTAGCCATAACGTAATATATACACTCTCTAAATGCACTAGCATAACAATGTTTTTATAAATAAATAAAATGTATAATGTTTTTAATTTCCACAAAATTTATAAAATTACTTTGTAATTACGATATAATTATACACATTTTATAATGTATTCTCACACACATGGAGATTGGGACATAAAAGAATAAAGTTAGAACAAATGGTATTTAGGGATGTAAATAAATCGAGCTTGAACAAATAAGGCAATGTTATTGTTCGTTGGTTTATTTTTAAAGATATTCATATTCGGTTCGTGTTCATTTAAATTTTTAATACCATATTCATGTTCACAAACATGTTCATTTAATATTTGTAAACATGCTCGTTTAGCATTTGCGAACATGCTCGTTTAGCATTTGCGAACACGTTGATTTACATATTCAAAATTAAACAAAATTAACTAGTGCTAAAAAAATGGTAAAATAATGTCACTAGTGTTTAAACTCCTTAAACTTTGCATTTTAAATTCTAAATTTCACTATATGTATAATGTAGTCCTTATATTCACCAATATTTAAAATGTAAAAGAAATAAAAAAGTAAACGAGCTATTAAACAAGCTTGTTGATGAGACATAAATGAGCGAGTCGATTGACAAGCTTGTTCATGAACATAAACAAAAACAAGCTTATAAATAAGCTTGTTCGTAAACATAAACGAACTAAAAACACCTATGTTTAGTGTTCGTTCGTTTATTAAACGAATTTTTTTTTGTTCATATTTGTTTATTTAACTTAATAAACAAACTTTACGCGAACATTTCACGAATAATTCGTCGATTGCTCTGTTCATTTACACTTCAACATTGAAATATGTCGAATTAATTTTCTCGGTTATTATTAGGAAGTTTTGTTG